CAACAAAGTAGTTTTGCATATCCACAGAAAAAAAACAAAAACAAAAAATATTTAAAACCGAAAAAAATATACAAAAAGCAAAAAAAAGGAAATTACAAAAAATTATGGAGAAATATATTAGTTTATAGAGCGCAAATATTTTCACAGCCACAACAAATACAACAAATACATATTAAAACCAAAAACAAAAAATACAAAAAAAAATACAAAAAATACTAAAAATACTTTATAAAACTTAAGACAACAAGAAGCAAAAAGGAAACTTTGAACAAAGGAAAACAAAAAATATGCAATTTTTTTAACCTTCCCAAACCAAATTAAAGCCCAAAAAAAAAAACAAAAATAAAATAAATAAATTTTTAAAAATTAAAAGTGAAATTCGAAAATGCATAAAATTTTTTGTTGTTTTCAATTTCAATGCAATTTGAACATAATTTATGAACAGTCACACACACACACACACACTGACTTAAACAATAGTCTTAAAAAGTAAACTAATTTTACATAAACAAAACAAAACAGAAAAAATGTGTTAAAAAAATGTTTTCGAAAAACATTTATTAAGTTATTAATTTCCATTGCGCTTAAATTTAATTTAGCAAATTTTGCCACAGCCCAAAAAAAAAAAACAAAAAACAAAAAAAAACAGCAGACATTCATAATTATCAATAATAATTAATAAAACATACAAAATAAATAGCTAAATAATAGTTTTAGTTAACTACGGTTGAAATTTTACGTTTCCTATGAGGCTCATCTTAATTTTTGTTTGTTTTTTTTGTATGGCGCGCTGTTTCGAATAGATTTTTTTTATTATATACACATTAAATTATATTTAATTTTATATTATATATAATTTACACACACACACACACACATGAAATATAAACCTTTAAAGCAGCTCGAGAAGCAAAAGAATAAATTTTTTATTATTTTTTGTTTTTTTTTTTGTCAGCTTGCAATGTTGAGCTTAGGTTTTATTTTATATTTACACATATTTTTTTTATTTTTTACATTTAATTTTCGATTTTTATCAGCTAGTTAAGTAGCTATGCAGAGGCTGCTCGAACGTCGGCTGCGGCAAATGGCGACTAAATATTGAGTTTTTGAAATGCTTCTGAGCTGTTGAGAAGGTTCGCTGACAAAACAAAAACAAAAACAAACACAAAAAACAAAAACAAAAAAATAGCTGCAATACGTTATAATTACGTCAATATGTTCCTAACAATATAGACATACAAGCATATTTATAAACTATGATTAACTAACTATAAAGCGACGGCAGAAACAGCAACATTAAACAGCAAATAAATGCATTAAACATAAGTGAGCAGACACACACACACACAAACACACCTACACGCATAAGAATCTTTAAATAATAAATATCTTTAAGAGGCGCGTGACTAAATTCAATTTTTATTATATTTTAAGTTAAGTTGTGTTTGATTTTAATTACACATATACATATATATATATATATATATATATATATATATATATTTATATATATATATATTTATATATATATATATATATATATATATATATATATATATATATATATATATATAAATATATACATCTTAATATACATAGGTATTATTGATATTATTTTGTAAGCGTGCAAACACATTTAGAACATATTTATTTAGCTAACGGCGCATTAAAAATAATTCTCAAATTCAGAAATCGAAATATATATATGCATATATATATATATATTTATATATATACATATATTTTAATATTAAATTGCAATTTAAGTTCCATTCAAATTATTTGTAAGTCTTTTTTTAAACAGAAGTGAAATATAATATATCACAATAAATAATAAATTAATAAGGTCTAGAGAGAGAAAGAGAATAAATAGAAAATACAGAAGGGATCGAGAGATAGATAGATAAATATAATATACATTAATATATAGATATATATATATAGTATATATAGAATTATATATTAACATATATAGATATATAATATATATATATATATATATATATATATTTAAAGTACATTTTTTTCGCAAATAAATTGAAATAAAGTAAAAAAAATCATTTAATTCGAGCATGTTTCACTCATTTATTCACTCACACACATACACACGCACACATATACACACTCACATACAGCCCGATCATCAAGGCCTTCTCAACGATTTCGCCGAGCTTTCAAAATGGACGCCGCAACGTGCTTAGCGCGTGTGTTTGCGGCGAATTGCGAATTGTGTATCTTTGAGCTTTTTGTCAGACCATTGAACTTATTTGTTAGTTTTGTATAACGATTATATCTGGTCTATAGACCGGCTTCAAGAGCTTGAGCTTCATTTAATAAATATATTTAAACTAAAAAAAAAAAACAAAACAAAATAAAATAAAAAAACAACAAAAATCTCATTTTATGATGAGCGCAAATTAACAGCAGAACAAAAACCAAAAAAGGAAGGTTAAAAAAAACTATATATACATATACATATATATATACCTACACACACACACATATATATATATATATATTTTTTTCGTAGTCGAAGCAAGTCGAATGTAAAACCCCAAAAAAAAAAACGTAAAACCAACTAAAAGCACTGAGCAACACACTTATAGCCAACTCATTTTCGAGTTGTCCAATGCTGAATAATGGAATCAAGTCAAGTACTCGTAATGAATAATGAATAATGAATAATGTTTAATGATTATCGATAATGAGAGCAGCTTATATCAGGCACCAAAACAAATAGACGCGAACAAGCAACAACAACAAATATTTTAGATGAGAAATTCAATAACTGATATACCTACACACACACACAGACACACACACACACTGACACACACTAACACACACACTCAATGGTAAATTAAACATATTTTAGGCAAACCCCCAAAAAGGCAAACAAAATTTATATAAAATTATTAAAAGAAAAGCTAAAAAGTTTATAAACAAAATATTTAAGCAAAGCAAGGCATATCATAGTTTATAAAAAATAAAAAAAAAGAGAAAAACCAATAAAAATACACACACACACACAGATCAGAGAAAGACACACACACACACACATACACACACACAGACAGGCACAACAGACCGCAGCAAAAATCTTCTTTCAATATCGAAATTCAATAATAGCACAGGCTATCCGGGAGTGCTACGTAGCATCCAAAAGAAAGCAGTAAAAAATAGTAGAAGAAGCAGAAGCAGAGGATAATAACGATGATGAACAGGCAGGCTAGACAGCACTAGGTAACAAGGTTGACCTATGAGGACCTACAAGAATGCAACATTATCTGATATGATATGATATGATATGATATAGAGGGCCAGCTATATAGCCTAGATATCGCAATTTCTAGTTGACGAAGTGTTAGCCGTTTATATTGCAAACAAAACAAATAAAAACATAAGCGAAGAGCGAGAAAATAAAGAAGAAGAAGAACAATACAAAGCAAACTAACAAACAAACAAAACAAAAAAGAGAAAAGAATGAAACACAGAACAAACAAAAGCAAAAACAAAATGAAAAGAAAAGAATAATAACAAAAACAAGATGAAAAGAAGGGAAAGTAAATTCTATATAAATAAAACTACTGAAAATATCGAGTACGAGTTTTTTATTGGGCCTATACTAACTATAGAATATTTACTTACTATATTATATTTAATATATACCTAGATACTAGTGCTAAATATATTTTAAAACTATGACTTTAAAGGTTTAATTACTTTAGAAGCATAAATTCAGCTTAAGTATCTCTGCAATTACTCTGAGTTGATTAATTGCTTTAGTAATTAAGGGTAATTACTTGATAATTAAATGTAATTACTGGAGTTGAGCTATTGTAATTACCTGAGTAAAGAAGACATTTATTGTAAATGCTTAAATTATTTATTGTAACAACTTGAGTAATAACTTCAGTAATTTATTGTAATTACTTAAGTAATTAATTGATAGGACTTGCAATATAAGCTAATTACTTGGGTAATAATTAGTTGTTCCTTAAGTAACTAGTTGTAAGTAATTCACAATAATTTTTAGAGTAATTAAAAGGCAAACGCTTGCGTAATTACTTGAGTAATTAACAGTAATTACTTGAGCACTTTTAACTAACAATGAAATGTAATTACTTGGGTATTTCAATGTAACTCTTCTAGCAATTATAAGTATTTGCTCAAGTAATTAAAGGTAATTACTATATAGTTAGTTAATGAACTTAATAGTAATTATGAAAATAATTAGAAATAATTACTTGACATGCTGATTGCAACTACTTCAGTAATTACTGAACTAATTAAAAATTACTTATAAAGTAATTAATTGCAAAATCTAAGTAATTGCTTCTCATTTATAGTAATTAAACCTTTAAATTTGGCATTTATTATGAAATTCTCAAATACTTTTATTCAACATTTGACAACACTGGCACTGTCGTGTTGCAAATGTCAACTGAACTCTATCCACGATCGTTTGACTTTTGTTTTGTACGACAGTGTATATTTACACTACTCATATATTTCTAATGAAACTAGGCCCTGCAACGCTGGCAACGCATACGTAAGTACTTCGCGACGAACAGCTCAACAATTAGTAAGGAAGGGAAGCTAAGTTAGTTGTAGTAACTATGCCTAGTCACTTACGCTTAGTTGTGCAACCGTTTTCACCTGCTGCTTGGCTTGCGTAGAGACGCCTCTTTGTGGAGAGCGTAGGCTATGTACATAACTGCATGTTCCCCTCTTCCGTTTAGCTATGTATGTATGTATATTTGGTTTGTGACTCTGCCTTGAACATATGCACCCACATCTGCCACATGCCACGTGCCACGTGCCACATGCCACGTGCCACGTGCCACATGCTGGCAACTAGCAGCAATTGTCTGGCCCCCCGACCCCAACAACCCCCACCACCCACCCATAAGCAGCATCAATAGTTGACTTTAGTTACATAACGCTATGCATCCATATCCGTAGTATGTCCTGGTCTAATAGACGTCTTCCATTGACAGCTGCTGCGCAACTTTGGCTCACCGATGAGCGCGATGGCCGCCAGCCGCTGCCCCACGCCGTTTGCGTTCCCCTTTTCGCCGCTCGGGCTGAGCCTGTTCGACATTGATCCGTCCAGAATACTGAACCTGCTGCACCACCAGACCTGGCTGGCCGAGGAGGCATTGCGGTAAGTGCGCTCAGCACCCCATGGAGCACAGGCATAACTCTCAGATCTGTTTCTCTTCTTTGTCTACGTGCAGCACGCGCGGCCTGCTCGGCGCGCCAAAGGACTTTCCCCACCGTTTTACCACGTTGAGCGATCTGCTTACCAAGGACTATCAGCCAACGGCGGCCAGCTATGCGGCCAAGCAGACGCAGCAGTCCACAACGAGCCGTTCCAGCGATCCACAGTACAAACAACCGCAGCAACATCAGCAACACCAGCAACAACCACAGGCCACACAGCCGCAGCAACCGTCTCAGCAACAGCAACAATCAGGACAAGCGGCGCAGCCGCATGTCGCGTTCAATATGCGCTATGCCACGCCCACTGGCTTTTTTCAGCCATCGAAGGGCGGCAAGTCGGCAGGCACACCCTCGCCACAGCAGATGGCCACCTCGTCGACGGCCATCTCAGCGGAGTCGCAGCTGGAGGGCCAGGCGGAGGGCAACGATGACGTCACCATCGTTGAGCTGGGCAGCGAGCGCAGCGTCGTGACGCCCAATAGCAGTGCGCTGCTGTACAAGGAGTCGCTGGAGCAGCTGCTGGCCCAGCAGCAGCAGCACCAGCAGCACCAGCAGCACCAACAGCAGCAGCAGCAGCAGCGACGTCGCAATGCTAACAACAGCACGTCCAGCACAGGCGGAGTTGGAGCTGCAGCTGGAGCTGGCAGTGGAGCTGGGGTCATTGTGGACGCCAGTGGCTTGCGTCAATATACGCAGCTGCTGCTGTCTGGTGCTGGCACGCCCGTCAGCTGCACGGACACTTCGAGCAGCTGCAAGGAGAAGAGCTCCTCGTCGTCTACCTCATCGACGCCGCCGCCAAGCGGCGCGCTGCTCGCCCAGCATCAGCAGCTGAGCCAAATGCTGAAGAGTCCATCGGACACGTGCTCCTCGCTGTTCAGCGAGCCGATCGAGGAGGAGACACGCTGCGTCGTCTGCAATGCGCACTTCCCCAACGTCTGGCTGCTGGAGCAGCACGCGGCACTGCAGCATCCGCACATCGGGCCGGGCGAAGAGAAGCCCTTCATATGCGAGCAGTGCGGCCAATCGTATCGCTATCGCAGCGCCTATGCCAAGCACAAGGAGCAGAACCATCGCGCCCGCCTGCCCGCCGACAAGCTGTTCACCTGCGACGTCTGCGGCATGCAGTTCCGCTATCTGAAGAGCTTCAAGAAGCATCGGCTCAATCATGCACTCGAGCGTCTCCATGGCAAGAAGTCGATTGGCGTCGGCGTTGGCGTGGGCGTTGGTGTGGGCGTGGCACGCATGATAAGCGGCACAGCGGCAGCTGCAGCAGCAGCAGCAGCCGCCACCACGGCACAGCTGGACCAGGATGTGGTGACCAGCTCGCAGGAGCCGATGCTGGCCGACGAGGGCGAGGATCTGCGCATCAATGTGAAGCGTGAGGGCGACGACCCGGCCCACCAGCAAGAGGCCACCAGCGAGGAGCACGAACAGGACAACACAATCGACTCGGCGGGCATCACGATGCTCTACAACGACAACAACTCATCGGCTTCGGCCTCCACGAGCGCCACGGAGCCGAACATCAGCAGCTCGGACGGCATACATAGTACAAACAAGCGGGTAAGTGATGCGGCTTGGGTAATCCTTGTTTCAATGGGCCTGGCAAGCGAGTTCCGAGAGGCATCTCCCAGCTGGCTTCACATTGCTTCCCCGTCCTTACCTCTACTTCGGCTATATATCTGACTAGTATTCCATATATCGAGTCTAACTTGTTGTTGCCTTGCAGTCACGCCTGTTGAACAGCGCACACCACTTGGAAACGGATCCCTCCTATCACCATCAGCCACACCATCATCATCATCAATCACAACAGCAGCAGCAGCAGCAGCAGCAGCAGCAGCAACAGCAGCAGCAACAGCAGCAGCAGCAGCAACAGCATCATCATCAGCAGCCGCAGTCGCAGTCCCAGCAGCTGCCGCCGCATCTGGCGCACGTCTCACTGCCAATGGCCAGCGCTGCAGCCGGCTCCTCGTCGGCAGCAGCAGCTGCGGCGGCCGCTGCGGCTGGCTGCATCGCCAGTCCAGGGGCTGGCGCAGCTGGCTCTGCCAACAGCGGCGTGGGCGGCAGCGGCATTAGCTCGCTCAGTTCGCTGACTTCGCTGATCAATGCGGAGCGCATACCCAATGAGCAGTTCCTGGGCCTCAATCCGCAGGAGGCTTCAATACTCAACTTTTTGCGAGTCGATGCCGCTGAGCGACAGCGTGACAAGCGGTAAGTTCAATTAGTTCCGCGAGTGAACCAGTTGCCATAGCCTCTATCAAATCTAAAAAAGTTCATTGAACAAATGAACTAGTGAATTGAACTAGTTCAACGATTCCTATGCCTGCACTTAATTTGCTAGAGAAGATCTTAGCAAAGCAAGCAAAAGCATCTGCTAGTTAAATGAACTGATTCATTAAATCCAAGTTCATGTGAACTAGTTCATAATAGCTCAACTTCTACTTCAACAATATAGTTGAGGCAAACATGAAAAATAAGTGTATGAATACTGTTCGCACTACTTGTATTATTGGAGCGAACTAGTTCATGAACATTTTGGCACTAATGCAACAGTTTTAGATTGATATAAAGACATTCACCAAAAAGTTGTACTAAATTTTCAAAAACATTAACTGAAATATCAAAAGAACTAGTTCACTACAATTGAGTAAAGTAAATGCTGAATTAGAATTTAGTAGTTCAAGATAAAAAACGTCAGCTATCAACGGAATTGCTGTGTGCCAAATGAACTAGTTCACTTGTGAATCAATCCAATTTCAAACTTGTTCATTTCGATATCGGAACCACTTAAATGAATAAAATTAGAATGCAATTGCTGGTTGCAAAAGGAACTAGTTCACTGGTAAACGGAACCAATTCCAAGAATTCGCTTTACTTTCTCAAAAATTCTAATTCACTTAAATAGACTTAAAGGCGCTTGCACTGTGCCAAATGAACTAGTTCGTACAAACGAACCAGTTTGCCAAGACTTTATAATTCTGATATAGTCGAATTCACATGAACGCACTTCCTTTGCAGACCCACCACATCGCGCTTCGCATGCCCCTTCTGTGGCAAGTGCGTCCGCTCCAAGGAGAACCTGAAGCTGCACGTGCGCAAGCATACAGGAGAACGTCCGTTTGTCTGCCTGTTCTGCGGACGCGCCTTCGGCGGCAAATCGGATCTGACCCGCCATCTGCGCATCCACACCGGAGAGCGGCCGTACCACTGCGAGTCGTGCGGCAAGTGCTTCGCCCGGGCCGACTATCTCTCCAAGCACTTGACCACGCACATTCACAATGCGCCGCGCTGAGATGAGGCGCGTAGGAGGCGGCTCCTACGCAGATAAGCCCACTAACCACACACATCTACACACACGCACACTCACACTCACACTCACACGCACACGCACACGCTCACTCACACTACACCAGACAACACAAAATACACTCAAAGAAAAGAAAGGTAAAGAAACACACAAGAGGCATAAATTACAGGAAACATGAAAATTGATGTATAGATCTATTATTACTACCATTATTATTAGATTTACAATATGAGCAGGCAAGTGTCTAATTATTTTTTTTTTCGAATTCGAACTCGAATTCGAATTTGAAGCAACGGTGCTGAGGTACAGTCAGCGCACTGATGAGCCATAGAGCAATCAATGTGTGTGCAGGGTTTTTTTAATATATAAAGAAGAAGAAGAACATTAAGAACTATTAGCACGGGTATTAATGTCTTTAAGATTTGAAACTAAAGCATAAATAATTGTAATTAGTAGAAGAGTGTTAATTTTTTTTTTTTTTTTTTTAATATGCAAAGTTTTCTATGGTTAAGTGAGGGTTTTTTTTAGTGGAATATGGGGAGATCTAATTAGTTCTGGCAGCTGCAAGGCAACTACTAACTACAACAACTACAACAAACTGCAATATATATGAAAATAGTCTGTGTTTTTGAGAGCAAACAAAACATTCAAATCACCAAGTACCATAATCTGCCGTTTACAGAGAGCAACTCTTAAAGCAAAACTAAAAAAAAAACTAATTTTACATTTATTTAAAACTAAATAGCAAAATATACTGTACAAAATATAGAAGGAAACTAATAGGGAGTTTAACTCGGGAGCTGAGGCGAATGAGAAATGAAACGAAATGAAACGAACGGAAATGAAACAAGCTTAAGACGAAGAAGCAGCAGCAGCAAGAGGCACGTCCCAGCCGCAGGAATTTGGTTGAACTTTACGATAAATCAACAGCAACAGTAACAGTAACAGTAACAGCAACAGTAACAGCAACAGTAACAGTAACAGTAACAGTAACAGTAACAGTAACAGTAACAGTAACAGTAATGATAACAGCAACAGTAACAGTAACAATAACCAACAAAACAATACAAAAATGGATTTTAGTTTTCCTCTTTTTTTTAGCAATTTATTTATAAGTTTTACAAACAGACGGACGAAAATCAAAAATCCATAGAGGCAAGAGAGACAAAATATATATACTGTCTATATGTTTTTTAAACGTGTGTGCTAGCTTAAAGCAAACAGACAACAAACAAACAATACAAAGGAGAAACTTATTATTATTTATACAAATCAAAAACAAAAAAAAAAACAGAAAACAGAAAAAAAACTAAAAGTTAAAGCAAAAACTGAATGAGGCATAAAAAGTAAAAGGGGGAACGGGGCAGGGTAGTGGGGTAAAAAGGAACTGGGTTCGAACTGGAGCGAGGCTTGAGGCAGGCTAGAGTTACAAATAATATTTACTTATGTGCAACCACCGTCAATAGTTTAATTAATTACAAACAAGCAACAATTATACAAGCAGGCGAAATAGAAAGATACGAGACACAAATAGAAATAGCAAATAACAAAAAACATTTAAGACGTTTTTTTTACAAATAAAAAAAACAACAACTACAACAACACAAACTAACTGTGATTCCAGCAACAACAAAATAAAAAATAACTTACAATTTACAAAAAAAAAACAAAGAAAACAAAATATAAGAGAAACAATAGCAAAGCTAATAACAAAAAAAAACCCAAAACAAACAATAGGCAAAAGATTTAAGGCAGCCAGGCAAGCGCAGCCCAACACACACACACACACACGCAGAGAGAGCGAGAGAGAGAGAGGGAAAGAGCATGACACAGCCTGTTGGCATCCTTTGTTATAGAGCTTTTACCGCTTCACTGAGCTGCGTGCTGTACAAGCGAGCTTTTGACGCGCAGTCGAACAGGCTCATTGCTCTGCTCTGCGTCTCTGTGTGTTATTGTTGTTGAGCTGCTGCCAAGCAACGAGACGTGCAATTTTTTACAATAAACAACAACAAATAAACATAAAGACTACTAATTTTGTATATGCCTAGAAGCTGCTTCATTTATTATGGCTCATTTCATGAAAAATGTTGCAAAGAAAATACCACCAAATAAACTCACACACACACACACACAAAGATCATGCTACATAAGGAAGAAAAGAAAGAAAACACAAACTAGAAACAGAAGCAGAAACAAAAACAAAAATCAACTAACAAACTTTGAACCAAGAACATCGAATTAAATTGTAAATTGTAGTTTCAACAAACAAGAGGCAAAACAGCTATGAAATCTAATATACATAGTATATATACATACATACATAAATACATATATACATATGTATATATATATGAAATAATGTTTCCACACACATATATAAATATACATATATATATATATTTTTTTTTTAATAAATGTCCTAAGCCTGAAGCGAATACTTAAAAAGAGAAAAACAAGAATATTTGCCGTACCAAAAACAAATAAGAATATTAATAATAATAATAAATGGAATAATAAACAAATAATTGTCAAGCTGGAAAAGTTGATGGAATAAAAACTTTCACTGTGCCAAAAAGTTTAAAGTACCTCATAATTTAACTAAATATTAAAGAAGAGCAAAAGCAAAACAAATAAACATAAATAAATGAAAATGAGAATGAAATAAAAAATAATAATAACTCAGTTAAACAAGGTTTTTACACACACAAACTAACACACGCAGTAGATTCCATAGAACAGTCACACATACACACGCACATTGTGCGTGTTTGCCAATAGAATATAGAAGCTAAAAGCTGCTGTTAACTAATTTAATCAAGCTACTTATAATTTAGCAGCCAGAGGCAATGTTTAGCTAGCAACTTACAAATATGAGATTCTTTTGATTTCACCATAAATATTTAATTATTATTTGAATAAGTATATTTTGTTGCCTTCTCCCCCACTCACCCACTCACCCACCCACTCTTACACTCTCTCTATCTCCCTCTCAAATAGTGTTCAATTGTAGTAAAATTTTGTGATAGTTTAACAAGATTATATGCACAGTTTTATATATATATATATATATATCTATATATATAGACTCTTTCTCTTAACTTAACTTAAATGCCGTTTTTTACATTAATTAATTAAAATTAAAAATAAAAAAAAAATTATATATTTTTAACAACACAAAAGACAAATCCCAAATATTTGTTCTTTTTTTATACGCAAATAAATCGAAAATAATATATATTATCGAACGATCAGGGCCACTAGCAAATTGTTTAGATTTAATTATAATTTATACAATTTATATAGAGAACTAAATGTTTTTAATACACATTTTTTGCATTGTTTACAATTTTATTCAGCTATTTTTTTATGTATTTCAACAACAACAACAACAACAAACACTGCCTTTTTATTGCAAGCACAAAACACACAAAAATGAAACAAATCAAAAATCTTTTTAGTATATTTAATTTTTTTTAAGCATCACAACTGCAAAAGGAAACGAAGCGAAACATATTTCAAATATATCAAAACGAAACAAAAAAAATAACAAAAACAAAAATTAAATTAAATATTTTAAACCACTTTTATGTTCACTTGAGTTCGTTGTGCTCATTCGGATTTCTCTTAATACTTTTATTTCTATTATTATTGCAAATATATATATATATATATATATATATGTATCTGAATAATTACTTGAATTGACATGCTGTGAGCTATGTCTGTGAACCTTTGATTTTTTGTGACACTTATTATATTTAATTATTTTTATTTTCTAGTATTTATTATTAATAAAGTTTTTTTGCATTACACACATAAACTGAATATTTTGTTGACTTTTTCTATTATTTCAAAATGCCCTGAACTCCGCATGAATGGATCATATTAAAGGTCCTGAGTCGCTCTTGTCATGCCTGTCGATCCGCTCTAAGCTTGATAGTTATTATATACAATTATCTTATGCATCCTCACATAGCCCATCTCCCTTTGCCTGTCATCGATAACTATCGATGTTTCAACTATGTTTAAAAGCATAGATGTGTGACTCCTGCTGCTAAATAGGCAAAGAGTTGACACACTCTGAAGCGCTTCCCTCTTTGAATCTGGCACGCACACACATCTGTGTATAGAGGAAGCCTGAAAAGACTGTGCAGTGTTCCGGGTATCTCCTGGTCGGGCATTGCCGACCAGCGCAACTCTCGCTTACTTTTCTTTTATTCTCTGTCATGTCTCTACCAATTTCTTTATGTTTGCAGCAAGTCAGGTTAAACAACAAGTTTTATGTGTTAAATAGAATCGGAAGGAAAATCTAAAAACGAAGTTGAAAGAAAACTTGAATAAAACGAAACATTTGCTAAGGGCATAGGAAGCTAAGCTTAGATTTAGGCAAGCAGTAAAGCAATATTAAGAGAAAAAATTGAATAAGAAAATTTAAGTAATTTTTTCCCAATTTAAAAAAGTAAAATAAAATAAAATAAATTAAAATTTGGTGTGTGCTTAGCTAAAGGAATTCAATTACCACGTAAATGTTTAAAACGAAAACTAAAAGATCAATGGATATAAAATAATAATTTATAAAACAAAAGCGAAAACTTTTTTAGACCCAAAACGGGCAACGGAGAGAAACAAAAAGAAAAACAAATTCATTTGTAAGCCATGAAAAAAAAAACAACAAATTGGAGGGATTCAAGACTCTTATTTCATATATATATATATACATAAATACATCCACATATATATATATATATACATATATATATATACATGTATATATATATATAAATTACAAATTTACCATATATATATTTACATAATATATGTATGTTTAACTTACGAGAGTTTTTTTTAAGTGTAACGCTAAACAAGGCATAGACAAAATGCAGGAAATACGTGTAACAAAATAATATTATATAAAACACAAGCAAAAACAAAAACTAAAACAAAAAATATTACAAAATCCAACAACGAAACTTTTTGGCATTAAATCGATGCATTTTTAAAAACAATATTTATTTATATATATATATATATATATATATATATATATATATATATATATATATATATATATATATATATA